AAGTAATGGTTTCTTTACTGCTCCCATTTATATCGTACACTGATCCTGATTGTATTCCTATTTATTCCATAAAATATAAGGCTCCCTTTTTTAATTTGTGTATCTGTGGATTTTATTATGATTGTTTCTTGTTGAGCCATTGCATAAAATTCAGCCGAAACTAAATCAGACATTTTTTATAAATTTTTAGAATTGCATTTGATGTGCAGTCCTCATTGAGTAACGTAAAATGACGCAAATCTCAAATTTACCCTTCATTGGAAATGGTTGAAAATAAAGATATCACTGTAAAATTAAAAAGCAATTATTTTGGAGCATTTTAAGTACCAGTAAAAATTCGTTAATAATTTTATTTTATCCAATTTGACAAGTATTATCGAATACAATGCTAAAAAATTTACAAGAAACACCTGGTTTATTATCGGCTAAATTTTATGGAATAATATTATAATAATAATATTAATATTGTAAAATTTACATATTTGTGCGTTATTATTAATCTTCATATAAATTTTCGTATATGCACAATTATTACGAACAAATAAGAAACACTTAGATTGGGAATATCAGTGTAGTTTTTGACAAGAAGATATATACTCTTATAATTATAAAATATTTTCACACGATATGTATGTAAGGTTCTTTCTATCTTTATTATTGTGATTTGCGGTCCGATTTGCAATTTAATGGTTAAAAATAATGAATAATTTAAGTTATATATTATTATGTGTTATTATATATTATGTGTTATTATGTGTTAGTATATATTGTTATGTGTTCGATTTAAGTATTGTTATTTTGTGGTTGGCCATCTATATATATGCCATCTATCATAATATACTTTATTAAAGAGAAATATTTATATTAGACATATAATACATAAATATTAGGGAGAAACACACACATATATATATATATATAAGAAAGATACATATTGTTTATAATAAAAAACAATTGAATCGTACGTGAAAATTACTTGCTTACTTGCTGTCTGAACCGCTCGAAAAATTAATATTATTTATAGTGATTATATATAGTACATATTATATATAATGGAAATTTACGTGGTCATGGATAATTAAATGCGCGATAATTAAATTATCATTATGCGTGATGAAATATAAAATTATATTATTACGAAATCATAGCTCTTAAAATCTGTGTACCTGTTTAGCTTTCAAGTGATGAAAAAAATTGTAGTGAAAAAATGGACATTTTCATGTCTACCTTAGTTTGTTGTTTCACAGTATCAGATTTACAAAAACCCATCTTACAATCCACCAAGCATTTCTTCATACTGTAAAAACTGAAAATATTGGATTCGAAATATCTTCTATAGATTTTTAGACAGCAGTAATATAGCTATGTAACTTAATGCGATTTTAATATAAATTCGTTTTACATAATAGTTAAGATCCTAATTCATAATACTTAACGCTGACTAATGTTCTTATACTTACTAGATTCATATATATAATTAAGTACTTATTAGAATAAAACAGACCGTCATTCTCATAATCCCTACATGGTCTCCAAAATCTGTATCTATTTTATCCACTAAAGGCAGGTGTTAACGTAGGACTGTACACTATTTCCCGTATCTTTATTATGTTCTATTGTACTTTACTTTCAAGTTCAGTTATTAACAGGAAAACGCAGGATTGACCTCGTACTGTTCTTATCATATTCGTCGATATCTCTGTATTATTCATGTATCTTGCGTTGAATCCTATAATCACATGTGGTTGCATATGGAACGTACTAATCACATAATCGTGATATAACCGTACGATGATATTTAAATTGAAGTTTTTTGTTATGGGCTATACAACAATATTTCACATAACTCAATGTTACGATATTTTTCTTGCAAATCAGGTCCTATCATTATAATTAGCACTTTCACGTCTTCATCACATTGATGCAAAAGCAATTCTCATGCATACAAACTATTTATATCCTCGAAAGTTCCAGATATAATATGAATAATGATTGTTTTAAATGATTGCATATGTAATAAATTACCTTCCCGCAGCCCATAAATCAACGTTAACGGTTTTGAAAAGTATTCAGTACATTCAAAATGAACATTATCTAAAGAATCTGGAGTTATTTTATGTTGAAAATACTATTCCATAAATGACAGCATATCATTTACCTCTTTCATATTTATATGCACATCATTTTTCATAAGCTTTCCGTCTCTATCTTTTAAAGCTTGCGTGTAATCCAAAGCCAACCAATGTTGCATATTTCGATAGTTATGCTCACGAAAAAGTAAATTATATTCACAGCACATATTTATGCATACGCAGTACAAGCAAAAGATTTTCAGGTTGTCGTGTCTGTGATAAATAAAACACGATTTTGGAAACAAGAACATTTGTTGCTCGTGCAACTCCAGCTCGCGATGTAGCTGTTGCTTGACAGCTTCCATATTCTTCTTCTTAAAATTAGTCCATTCCTCTAACGTGTTACCACAAAAATTGTGCATGTTCCTTTGCTTATTTACTTCAATTATAGCATCGCAAATTTCCTTATGTTGCGGCAGATGCAGCAGTCTGTATTCCTCGCTGCAGTTCGCGATCGTGCGGCACGTAGGACACTTCTCTAATCTCAGGCATTCCTTCATATTGGTATTGCCCTTGCAGACGTGACAGAGGTTTGGATGGAAAAAATAGTTATAATTTGGAAGTGGCAATAGAGTCGTTTGCGATACGTTGTGTGACATTATTTCGAGAAAATATCGTTCGTGTGTAACACCCCTGACACTTAGGGAATATTCCGTCTCTGGTTATTTATTCAGATACGTACGGAAATCTCACTCGTGTGCCAATGTAAAAATGTTATATATATACAAGATGGATATATCGATTCGTGTAGCTGTTGTTCGGTGGAACACTGATAAAAACTGTTTATGAAAGTTTCACCGTGTGTCTACATGCCTCGAGAAATGTTGACAATCGGATTTATACTTGGAACGAACTTTTATTGCCAGCTGGAATGTCAGGAATTAACTCAAAACTTAAGACAGATGATATACACAGACTCCGGGACAAGATCAATAGTACTTTCTAATCATAGCAATTCTTTTCTAGACATTAGCATGAAGCTACTACTGTGACAAATATTTTCTTGTTTGACGGGATCGTTCTGTCTGCTTTGAATAATTAATACATGATAAATCAATATTGGATACAATTAAAATACTTTTAATAATATAAACTTTTAATAATATAATCCCACAAAATGTCAAGGCTATTATGCCGGTCTATATACGTTATGGTGATTCTTTTGAAGTCAATGCTTGTAGGGATTATATCATGTTACTTCTGGGATAGTAATTGCGATACACACGTTTTAAGCGTCGAGCATTAAAAGAGATTAACTTGCTTAACATTACAAAATTAAGTGTAGCACATATGTATAATGCTGGCAGTGAATGTTAAATTTGCGATAATAATAAGGAAGATACATCATTGCAAAGAGATTAGAATAGCATAATTTTTGATATTATGCAGAAGAGATGCACCTTCAATAACTTTAACCTGGACATATATTGTTAAGGTCATCATCCTGTGTAATATCCGCTTTCTGAAATTATTACCAGAACAATATGTTTGTGTAACTGGTGTTGAGAGATATTTTATGGTTATATTTTACCTTAGAAGTTAATAATATTAATTTAGAAATAATACGTACATGCGTGCTTAGTAAGCCGCCATAAGAATTTTGTGTATTTCGAATAACACTCTTGAAACGTTTACGAACGTTTCGGCGAGAGTAACAGATTTTGAAATTCTCCACAACAAGCGTCATCAACTCGTTTTATTGGAAGATACAACGAACAGGCAATCGTTATTATCTGATATATTGGAAATAAACAAGGAACTGTTATAGGAAACAATGTCGCTGTAACGGTTAGAGATATGCAGATATTGATACGCAGATTTTATCTTAAAATCTTATTTTATTGTTTTATATAAAATTAGGAAAAACAATTTCTGATCATAAAAATTGTTTTCCTTGAGAAAAAACAAAATCATAACAGTCGTTTCTTGCATATCTTGCCTATAAATAATCTTGATCATATGCCTCACCTCGTAATTTATCTACGAGTGTATTTCTTATCCAAACTGTGCAACAAATAATTAAATATTGTACATTTATAATATAAGTAATACCTTTCCGGAAATAAGTAATGTGTAATTATAAATGAATAAGTGTTATATCAAAAAATTTATAATACGAGGTTGTCTGCGCATCATGTATTTATAATAATCACTTCCAATGGGGTTATCAGTGATAAATATTATAATAATAATATTAATATTGTAAAATTTACATATTTGTGCGGTATTATCAATGTTCATATAAGTTTTCGTATATGCACAATTATTACGAACAAATATACACTTAGATTGGGAATATCAGTGTAATTTTTGACAAGAAGATATATACTCTTATAATTATAAAATATTTTCATACGATATATATGTGAGGTTCTTTCTATTTTTATTATTGTGATTTGCGGCCCGATTTGCAATGTAATGGTTAAAAATAATGAATAATTTAAATTATATATTATTGTTACATATTCGATTCAAGTATTGTTATTTTGAGAAAGAATAATCTGATATAAAATCAAAATAATTGAGGTTGGCCATTTATAATAATATACTCTATTAAAGAGAAATATTTATATTAGATATATAATATAATAAATTAGAGAGAAATACACATACGTACATAAGAGAGATACATGTTGTTTATCGTTTATAATAAAAAAGCATTTGAATCGTACGTGAAAATTATTTGCTATAACTTTGTCTAAGTCGCTCGAAAAATTAAGATTATTTATAATGATTATATATAGTACATATTATATATAATAGAAATTTACGTGGTCATGGATAACTAAATATTATCATTATAAAATACAAAATTATATTATCACGAAATCATAGCTCTTATAATCTGTGTACAATCAAAATCTTTCAGAAATATTTTCAATTTTTATAATTTTACCTTATTCGGCTTTCAGGAAGTGAAAAAATAATACTGAAGAAATGGACACTTTCATGTCCTTCTCGGTTTGTTGTTTTCCAGTATCAGATTTATACAGATACAACCCACCAAACATTTCTTCACGCTGTGAAAATATTAAATTCGAAATATCGTCTTATAAGAAAATATTAGATTCGAAATAGAAAACTTTTAGACGACAGTAATATAACTATATAGATTAATGCGTTTCCAATATAAATTTGTTTTACATAATAGTTAAAGTCCGAGGATTGGTGTTCTTATACTTACTAGGTTCGTATATATAATTAAATAATTATTAGAATAAAACAGACCGTCATTCTCATAATCTCTATACGGTCTCCAAGATCTGAATCTATTTAGTCCACTAATGACAGGTGTTAACATAGAACTATACACTATTTCCCGTATCTTCATTATGTTCTGTTGTACTTTACTTTCGAATTTAGTTGTTAACAGGAAGAGGCAATATTGACGTCGCACTGCCCTTATTATATTCGCCGCTATCTCTATATCATTCATGAATCTTGCGTTGAATCCTATAATCACATGTGGTTGCATATAGAACCTACTAACCACATAATTGTGATATAACGTGCGATGATATTCAAATTGAATTTTTTTGTTACGAGCTATGCAAGTCTTACACAACTCAATGTTACGACATTTTTCTTGCAAATTTGGCCCTATCATTATAATAAGCACTTTTGCATTTTCATCACATTGGTGCAAAAGCAATTCCCATGCATACAAACTATTTATATCCTCGAAACTTCCAGATATAATATGAATAACGAATGTTTTTAATGATTGAAAATGTAATAAATTAGCTTCCCGCAGCCCATAAATCAACGTTAACGGTCTTGAGAAGTATTCAGTACATTCAAAATGAATATTATCCCAAGAATCTAAAGTTATTTTACGTTGTAAGTACTGTTCCATAAATGATGGCATGTCATTCACCTCTTTCATATTTATATATACATCATTTTTCAAAAGCATTTCGTCTCTATCTTTTAAAGCTTGCATGTAATCCAAAGATAAGCAATGTTGCATATTTTTGCAGCTATGCTCACGAAACAGCAAATTATGTTCACAGCATAAATCGATGGAGACGCAGTACAAGCAAAAGGATTTCAGATTGTCCTGTCTGTGACAAATAAAACACGATTTTGGAAACAGTAACATTTGTTGCTCGTACAACTCCAACTCCCGATGTAGCTGTTGCTCGACAGCTTGCATGTTCTCCTTCTTAAAATTAGTCCATTCCTCTAGCGTCTTACCACAATAATTGTGCATGTTCCTTTGTTTATTTACTTCAATTATAGCATCGCAAATTTCCTTATGTTGCGGCAGATGCAGCAGTCTGTGTTCCTCGCTGCAGTATGCGATCGTGCGGCACGTAGGACACTCCTCTAATTTCGGGCATTCCTTCATATTGGTATTGCCCTTGCAGACGTGACAGAGGTTTGGATGGAAAAAATAGTTATAATTTGGAAGTGGCGATCGAGTCGTTTGCGATATGTTGTGCGACATTATTTCGGAAAAATATCGTTCGCGTGTAATCCGTCTGACACTTAGGGAATATTCCGTCTCTGGTTATTTATTTAGATACGTAACGCACGGGAATCTCACCCGTGTGTCAATGTAAAAATGTATATATACAAGATGGATATATCGATTCATGTGGCTGTTGTTCGGTGGAACACTGACAAAAATTGTTTATAAATATTTCACCGTATATCCACATGCCTCGAGAAATGTTGACTATCGGATTTGCACTTGGGAGTCTAACGAACTTTTATTATCAGCTAAAATGTCAGGAATTAATTCGAAACTTAAGATAGATGATGTATACAAATTCCGGTACAAAAGTAATACTTTCTAGTCATGAGAATTCTTTTCTAGACATTAGCATGAAGCTGTTACTGTAACAAATATTTTGTTTTTAGGGGACGTTTCGTCTATTTTAAATAATTAGTACATGATAAATCAATATTGGGTACAATTAAAAACTTTTAATAATTTAATCGCACAAAATGTCAAGGCTGTTATTATGCTGGTTTGTATATGTTATTGTGATTTCTTTGAAGTTAATGCTTATAGGGATTATGTCATGTTACCTCTATGATAATAATTGCAATACACACATTTTAAGCATTGAGCATTAAAATGAGACTAATCTTGTTTAAAATTACAAAGTTAGGTATAGCACACATGTATAACGTTGGTAGTGAATCTGTTAAATTTGTGATAATAATAAGGAAGATAGATAATTAAAATTTTAACATTTTCGAAAATTCTGGACGTATCATTGCAAAGAGATTAGAGTAGTATAATTTTTTGTATTATGCAGAAGAGGTGCATCTTCAATGGCTTTGACCTTGACATGTGTCAAAGTCATTACCTTGAGCAATATGCAAAAAGTTTTAGGTGACGCTCGTCGTTTGTTGAAAAATTATCAACAAAAGAAGTTTAACAAAATGAACATAATTTGTACTCACATTTGTAATAAATAATAACTGCCAATTTAAACTTTTTGAATACTTAGAACCATCAAAACAAATTATCAATGCGTTTGTTTTTATATACATAAGTTTTAACATTTAAATCTTTCGCCTTACTAAATTAATGAGGTTACTTACTAAATGAATGAGATACGATATACTAAAATAACATATTCTGAAAAGAATGGCATAGACCTCTACGCAAAGTTTGTATTTAAGTAATTTATTTGTGCTCTGTAATAACACATAAAATGCAGAGAAAAATATTTATATACAATTCATATAAAATTTTATATATATAATTATATAATATATAAATTATATACAATTATATAATATATAAATTATCTATAATTAATTATGAACCATACATAAATTTTGTCTCTCTATATAGCCACATATACAATAATATTTATATATATATGTATTTATATGTTTTTACATGGAAAAAAGAAGTATTGTTGAATAAAGGAAAAAATAATTTAATTCAATTAAACGTTGGCATCATGCATTTTTACAAACCTAAACATTTACTTTAATTTTAGATTGAAATCCTTCAATATATTCCCATATTCTAAACGTAATAATGTCGGAAGTTTCCAAAGTATATCGTATCTATTGTAAATATCCTTATTATTGTAATATTATTGTAATATCGTGCTTTCTGACTATTCGGTGAATTGTTAACAGTGTTTCAAAACCGCTGACCTATTAATAATTTATTTAATTTTAGCAAGAAGAGAAAATAATACTTGTGGAAATAATACTTATAGTCATGTAAAGATAAATTTGACATAAAATAAAGATCATGAAATAACGACAAATTAATATAAAATTAACTTTAAAATTAATAAATAATAATACATATTAATATAAAATAATAATAATTTACATATAATATATTATATAATATTAATGTATAATATAATAATAAATGTAATACTTAATATAAAATTAATTTTAATTAACTTTCAAATGAAAACGTGGGTGTATATTATCGTGTAACGTGGGTGTAAATGTTCGTATATTATCCTGTCGTTATTTATATATTAACTTTCTTTACTTTACGTTAAAATTATTTTTATATGGCTGTTTACACGGCTCAAACATCCGATAGATTGTCCACATAAATGTTACTTTCCTCCACTTGTTAAAAGCATATAGTATACATTCGAAACTATTCATCGACACTACCTGCACATCTTTGCATTTACGTAACTAAAGATTAAACATAAAGTCGTCAAGCTGACACATATAGTAACAGGTCAGCAACTTTGAAGCACTGTTGTCAATTCACTGAACACTCATAAAGCACAAATATTCAAATATGATGCGTTTGGTTGAGAATTGTCGATGTCACTATGTTTAGGGAATGGGAATGCATTTATAAATTCCTGTACAATGCAAGAATACATTAATGGAGTTCTGTGTATATATGCAACGGTCTTCTTTTACATGTAGACACATATAATAATATATGATCGATATAGCTACATGACAAAATTTATATATAATAATTTTTTCCTGGCAACTTTACCGTAGCGATCCTATATATGCGACTTTTCAATAGTTTAATTTATAATAAAAATAGTTTAATTCAATAGTTTTAATCTTCTAATTGCAAGAATATCAAAAATATATATTATATCCGTCATCTCATTAATAATATTGTGTTTTATGAAATATCGAAAGTCATGAGAAATTCAAATAAGAAAATAATGCTTATATTTGTGTGCAGATACACCAGATTCAATAGTCATGAATATATATTTATAACGATAATTAACATAATCATCAATGAAGAAGCTGAGTTTATTTAAAAACATTTATTAAAAACATTTGTAAATTATATATGAAAAGGAGGAAATCGCTTGTATCTTTTACACATATTCGTCTGCAGATTACTAAATCACATATATATATGCGAAGAAGAAAACATTATTACTTCAAGGTTTCCGTATGATCCCTTCGAAAATACTTTCATTATTCGTGATAGATATTTCCAAGATACGTCCAGTATCAGTACATGATACATCCCAGTATCAGTACAAAAGTGCTTTCAAAAAAAAGCAATATGTAATTAATACGTTCACAAAATATGATTCTTTTTCGTTTTAATAGTATGTGAGAAAATCGAGAAATCATAAGAAAGTATTTATCAAAGGATTCTACCTTGTATATTATTTGCAACAGCGCTGTTAGAGTCGCATTAAGATTATGAACTGACTCTGCCGTCGAATGGGGTTGGAAAATGCAGGCTCTGGTAGATAATGAAATACTGATGTGGAGAAGATGTACAATTAATTTCGAGATCTCTATATGGCTTATAAGATGGGAATTTATTGCGTTCACAAATGATGGGTAATAGATGAAAACCCACTATTTTTTGTATTGTTAATATTATTTCATCCGCTTGCTTTTCCGACCTGCACGTTAATATTATCGGACACAATTGAGTCTGCAATGCTTCTACCGTTAGTTTCGATATCCTATCATTTCCAAATTTTATATCAAATACTATAATCACATTTGGTCGCGTTTCCGACGTATTTAAAAAATTATGATAAAACATAGAATTATATTGACCTTGAAAGTGTTTGTTATTGAGGACGCAATGATTACAAATCTGCGGGTTATATGGAACTGTCTTTCTCCGTAAATATGGATCTACTACTTCGATATGTAGCGTTGTGTTTGGACCAAGTTGATGTAAAATGCTTTCCCAAGCTAATAAACTGTGTTCCTCTATACCGCTTCCGATTATAATATGAATTACAAAGCAAGAACATGACGATAGAAGATGTAGTAAATTTGCCTGCCGCAATGTATGAAACAACGTGAGCGGCTTAGAAAATTCGTCACTGTGTATGTAATCACTGTAGCTCCAAGTGTGTACAGTTTCAGAAGATTGTGAAGCACTTTCTATAAAAGATTGCATGTCATGGATATATTCAATGTTTATATTCAAAAGATTTTCCGGAATACTTTCATACTTTGTATAGGAATTGTATATATCCATGTCCAAACAAAATCGTAGAAATCTGCAGCAGTGTACAAAGTCATAGAAAAAGTGGTCTAGACATACATTGACGGATACACAGATTTTGCAGCCGACAATTAGGATATCCTGCTTGTGGCAAATATAGCATGATTTCGCGAATAGAAACATTTGCTCTTCGTACGGCATCAAATCACGTTGAAGCTCATCTTTTATACGAAGCAAATATGTTTTCTTGAATAAAATCCACTCCTCCAATGTCTTAGAACGAGATATGTATGCTCTCCAGTACATATTTAGCAATATTACAGCCTCGCAGATATCAATATGTTGTGGTCGATGCATTATTCTGTGCTCCTCGCTGCAGTACGAGATCATGCGACACAATAAACATTCCGTCAGTCTCTCTGTAGTTTTGCAAACGTGACAAACGTTCGGATGGAAAAATTTGTTATAATTATTCTGGAAAATTATTTTATCCAAATATAGGTGTCGAGATGATTGCTCTGACATAACGTACAGAACAATATGTATGCGTAAACAAATATGCGCTTGAATATATATGCGTGAGATATTTTATAATATCACAATTTAAAAATAACCTCGCACAAGAGTAACAGTCGAATAATCGACGCTGTTTATATGCGGATGTGTGACAGTTGCGTATTCACTACAGATGTGGATTTAACGATAGTTCGAGGGACACTAGTAAAATATTTATAAACGTTTCAGTCTGTCACGGAAAGTGTTGACAATCAAACTTGTATTATCTAACGAACGATAAATATTTATTATGAAGTGGAATTATAAAATTTATTTCGGGACATAATAAGAATTTTGAAAAAAAAATAATGAATTTTTATGATTGATATAGTCTTTATTGAAGCTTCTTTTAACTTATAATCTTGAATATATAATCAAGAATATTCTATCCTGGAGGAGAAGATCATGTAATTTAGAACTTCCCGAAGATGAAGTCGTTGAAAAAAAGTTAAAGTAACTCCTTTTCGCAAAATTGATCACATAAATATTTAATGTAGACCATTTCTAAAAATTTAAGAAAAATTAAAGTAACAAGTTTATAATTTTTTCCTAAGAATGACTACAAAAGAAGTGGTGTCGAATTGTCCACAAGATCAATGCAGTAATAATCGTACATTATTTATCCACGTTTCTTGACTTTTAAACGTGATGAATGTTTGAATGAAAATACGCACGCTATTGGTAATCCATTAGGAATATTGGAATGGAATATTGCTTTTAATTAATTGTCGGATGTCATGCTCTTAGATGAAAAGAGAGGGCTTCTGGATATTGTGAGTGGGTACGAGAATCTTAATAATTATATTTAATTATATTATATATAAAGTGATCGTAAACATAACTGATAGAATCAACAGCGTATATGTTAGAAACTGAGTAGTACAACTATGATTAATATTTTCTAAAATTTTTTAATTAAAACTTCGTACATTATATATAAAAACAGAAGGCATTTTGCACATTTTTCAATTGACAATGATATATCATATATATAAGAGCTACTAACTGCTTAGCTTGGAACGTTGTAGAAATTAAAAACTTCAAAAATAATTAATAATTGTTTATTAGCCAGAAAAGCATTATCACTCTCATTGTGACTCATTGCTTTTGTACAATCTCTTTTCTTCTCTATTATCTTTAAATATATATTATTATTAATTAATATTAATTTAAATATATATTATTAATAATAATTAATAATAATAGATAAATATATATTTTGTTGAACTGATGTTGACTTGGCTTGAATCGCTTGTATATGTACCCGTTGTACATGGACTGTTAGTTAAATCCCAATATATGAGTAGACGACGATTAGGAAAAAAACAAAATCATTCTCAAAGTCTCTGTATGGTCTATAAGATGCAAATTTGTTCTTTTCGTTAATAATGGATCTTATAGGTGCGCTCAATATTTGCTGTATCTTCATTACATTCTCTTGCGCCTTACTCTCCGATTTAGCCGTTAAAAGTAACGGGTAGCATTGATTCTGTAATGATTGTATAGCTTGTTTCCATGTTTCATCACTGTTAAATTCCACATCAAATCCTATAACCGCATCTGGTCGCATATACAATGAACTGCTTATATAATTATGATATAGTATATGACGATATTCATATTAAAATGACTTTGATTGGTATTTACAAGTATTACAAATCTGCATGAAATCATAGCTCCCGGTAATTTTAGCCCTATCATTATAATTATTAACATAATGTCCTGATCGAGATCATGCAAAAGCATTTCCCATGCAGATAAGCTGCGTATATCTACGAAGCTTTCAGTTATGATATGGACAACGAAAAAACCGTTCATGTGTGTGTATCGTATGGGTAATAATTTCGCCTCATGCAATCCGTAAATTAGCGTCAGCGGTCCTGAGAAATCATCGCTATAAAAGTAATCAATAATAGACCAAGTAGTCGTTATTTTGTTTTTTTATATACACTGTCGAATAAATGACAGCATGTCATGAACAGCACTTCTGTTCGCAATAAAATATTTTTCTGGAATTTGCATAACTCTAAGGTTCTTTGAGGCGCTGTGCATGTCCAGCAAGTAAGAAACCTGCAGCTGCTGGTTGTGCATATGAGAATCTACATTATGTTTGCTGCACATGTTGATGGATAAACATCTAGAACAAATGCTGTTTAAATTCGTCTGTGTATGACAAACAAAACACGGGAATAAGATCATTTGCTCCTCGTACAGCTCTATAACGCGATGTAATTCTTGCTTGGCAAAATGTAGATTCTGCTGCTTGTATTGGATTCATTCCTCCTAAGTCATATCACATTGATTCTTCATGCATCTGTAGAAACTTGTGTTCTCTATAGCCATACACATAACCTTATGTTGTGGTCGGTGTAACAGCCTATGGTCCTCGCTATAGTAAGAGATCATGCGGCAGGTAGGACAATCTATCATATCAACTGCCCTGTGGTCTTGCAAACGTGACAAACGTTCGCATAGAAAAAGCTGTTGTAATCATGCTAAATACATGCTTCTATTTGAAAAAACGGGGTTGACCTTTATGTGACCTTGAAGGTTACCTCAAGATCAAAAGTCAAGATCACTATTGAAAACCTTTTTTTCTCCCTGCAATTTTTGTCGAAGAAGTTTTTTACGATAACCAATATTTCAAGAGTTACCCGTACCGGAATTTTTTGAACACCCTGTATGTAATACATTAATTTTTCTCTTCGTGACCGTATATATCATGCCTAATATGCATATGTATACAGGGTGTCCAAAACCATCCGTCCACCCCTTCTAAAATCTAGAAAATTAATTTTTTTGGGGATCTGAAAAATTTTTATAGCTATGTCGGGTACGCTCTTTTGATTGGTGATATTATCAACTTCCGGCTCCGACCAGAAGTGGGTTATCCAGACTGGAAGATCGTTTTTTTTTAATGGAATATGCATATTTTTATTGCAGATTCCAATTCTACGTATAAAAGAACGTAATTTTAATTCGAAAAATTTTTTTCGAAAACGTCATTTTTGACCTCTAAATGATCTTTACATTTGAGCTTAGGTCCGGTCTGCATGAAATCCCTTTCAAACATCAGGGACTGTCGAGAAAATAGCAGTAGTATCTTTGTTGTTTGTCAACATTTATTGTTGTCCTTTACAGAGCTCAGAACGATAATACGAAGTTTGAAAGGAGTTTCGTGCGGACCCAAGCTCTAATGTAAAGGTCATTTAGGAGTCAAAAATGACGTTTTCGAAAAAAATTTTTCAAACCAAAATTATGTTTTCTTATGCGTAGAATTGAAATCCGCAATAAAAATATGCATGTTCCATTTAAAAGAACGATTTTCCGGTCTGGATAACCCACTTCCAGTCGGAGCCGGAAGTTGATAATATCACCGATCAAAAGAGCGCATCCGACATAGCTATAAAAATTTTTCAGATCCCCAAAAATATTAATTTTTAGATTTTAGAAGGGGTGAACGGGTGGTTTTGGACATCCTGTATATACATATATTGGGTGAGTGCAAAAGTTCGTGCGGAGTTTGTGAGTAAAAGTCACACAGTGATTAGGCAAACAAAAATCTTTATTCAATCAATGATATATTCTCCATCGTTTTCTATAATCTTTTCCCAACGTTCTGGCAGCATACGGATGTCTCGATCATAAAAACTGCGCGGTTTAGATTCGAAGAACGAAGAGACGCCGTTTTTTAAGGCCTCCAAAGAGTCAAAATTTTTTCCATTTAAATAATTTTGCAATGACCGGAACAAGTGATAGTCAGATGGTGCGATATCAGGAGAATACGGTGGATGCGTTAAGACATCCCATTTCAGGCTCTTCAGTTTGCGCAGCGTCTTTTTCGAAACGTGTGGTCTGGCGTTATCGTGATGAAAGACGACTCCCTTGCGATTTGACAAAATCGGACGTTTCTCTTTTATTTCTCGATTCAGATTGGTTAATTGGCGACAGTACTTGTCCGAATCAATCGTTTCGCCAGCGGGGAGAAGCTCGAAATAGATTATGCCTTGCAATCCACCAAACAGAGAGCATCACCTTCATCGGGTGCAAACTGGCCTTTGGCATTGCGTCACCATGCTCACCTGATTGTTTCCATGTCCGTTTGCGCTGAACATTGTTGTAGAGGACCCATTTCTCATCGCCCGTCACTAGTCGATCCAAAACGACTCGTTATTGAGCCGCCCGAGTAAAGAAACGGCTGCAGAAATTCGCTTGATTTTGTTCTTCTCGGTCAGCAAATGGGGCACCCATATATCGAGCTTCAAATCGAATCCCATCTTTTTTAAACGCCGAAAAGCGGTTGATCGGTCAACGTTTAGTGCTGTAGCAACTTCTTCTGTTGAAATTCGCGGATTATTGAGCACTAAAGTACGCAAAACATCGTCATCAATGTCAGAAGGTCGACCAGAGCGTGGCTTCTTAATTAATTTATCAAATTCATTATATAGAAGAAAAAGTTAAAATTTTTCATTCTGAATCCATCTATATATAATGTTTTATATTTAAATTATACGAACATTACAATTTTATAAGTGGAAATAATACCATAAGCGAGATGCTGAGCTCGGTAACGTCCTTAAGCTTAATTGCTACATCGCTACAACGCAAATGACGAACATCTATTTACATCTTTTGGACGCAAGTATAAAAATAATTTGAAACATAATACATAAACTTAATATTGTACATCAACGTAACTTATCAAAAATCTTTTTTACATTTGTGTCATTCTGCAACATATTCACTTACAGAAGTTTATTACTGACTGTAATAAACTGGCTGGTGATAATAAGTAATTTTATTACTCATACAAGTAATTTTATTATTCGTATAAATAATAAAATTATTTATTATCATTTTAAAAATATACTATTGCAATATCTATTTTTCAAATATGCTATGCAAATATCTGTTCTACAAATGTGCCAAATTTTCGCTAAAAATCAGAGACACACATTTCGCGGATGTTCTTTGTTAGTAGAGTTTAATAATAATAACAATATGATATTTTATATATTTTTATATGATTTTATATATATATATATATATAAATTGATTGTATAATGTTCTTTTTACTCAAATAACGTTTAGAAATGTCTCACTTTAAATATTAATTTAGAAATAATACGCAAAACTTGACACTTTACCAACGTGAGAATTGGTGGATGTCAAATAGATGACTGTTTGAATACTAATAATTGTTACGTCCACGTAACTCTTCCATGAAATAATTCATAGAT